AAAAAAAAAGGAGACATATAAATACAGGGAGAAAGCCAAGTGATGACAGAGGCAGAGATCTGAGTGATGCGGCTGCAGGCCACGGAAGCCAAGGATTGCCAGTAACCACCGAAGTTAGGAGAGGCAAGGAAGGGTCCTTCAGGGGTAGAAAGCCTGCTGACACCTTGTCCGGACTCCAGCCTCCTCATCACAAGAGAATAAGTCTGTATTGTTCTAAGCCACCTAGTTTGTGGTCATTTGTTACAGCAGCCCCAGGAAACCAATACAAGCATGATGACCAAAGGCCACAGAGAATCCCCAAATCTCAGTGTAGAATTGGATTATCATTTGAGCTGACCACTTGCTCATCACAAGGTGACCACAACACAAACAGGTCTGCACTTCTCTTCCCTCGTCTGCCTCCCAAACTTCCCTCTGGTGATGGAACCAAAGACAAGGTTTGAGAGGACCACAAGCGAGACAAGGGATCCTAGACGTCTGGTCACTGGCTCTCTGAAATCAGAGTCCAAAGAAATACAGGGAGGTAATCATGCTCGATCAAGTCAGAAGTCCAAACTACCAGCGACCCAAACAGACTTTCTCCGCTGAGGTTTAGAGACCGGTATCAATCCACAATGGCCCTCAGTGAGAGGAGAAAAATAAAGACAAAGCACTGAGTTTTTATAAAGCTAAGTATGTTTAATTCAGTGCATTCCCCCTTTTTTTTAAGAGTATGTCCTTTTCATATCGTAGATGTCCTACCTACTATGAAATGATGGCAATAAAAAGTTTTCTATTGTTCATTCTTAGCAAAATTAGAAGCTGGCAATTCTCTGACTGAGTCCCAATTAAAAAATAAAAATCCACAACCTGTTACTTCTTTCCAAGAAGTCTCTCCACATTCCTCCCTCCTTTGGTATTGATGTATAAATCTTGCATTTCATTTTTTACTTACTTATATTTAGTGCTATAGTTATTCCCTGATTCCTTGCAAATAGATTCTTATCTCCCAAGGATAAGGATCACGACTCTTACCTCTCCATTTCTACTTTTACATAACACAGAGCAGTACACTCAACAGATGGCCAGGAAATGCTGACTAAGTGAATAGAAGAATAAATTGATAAAATTGGTTTAAAAAAAAACAAACGACCATCTAAGATGTTTTCAATGGCCCCAGGACAAAGTAGTCATAAACGGATAATAGGGACTTGATAGCTTCTGAAGTCCCTCTCGACATATCTGTCTGTGGTTCCTGTCTCTAAGCAAACTATTGGAATGAGAAACAGACCCCAAGCCAGCTCAAATGATAATAAAGGGGATACTCAAGCCACAGGCCCAGAGAATTATAGAAGCTTCCACGCTGAGATTGGCCCAAATTATGAGGCAGCTTACTACATCACCAAGAAGAATCCAACTGCTTCTCACCACTTTTACCCAAACCACCTTCATCCTTCATATTAATGCATTAACCTCGAAGGCAATTAGAATAATGAACACATCCTAATTCCCAAAACTTGTGAATATGTTTGTTACCTTACATGGCAAAAAGGACTTTGCAGATGTGATTAAGGATCTTGAGGCAGGGAGGGTATCCTGGATTATGCAGAGGGATCCAAAATAATCACCAGGATCCTTATATGGGAAAGAGGAGGGTTAGAGTCAGAGAAGCAGATGTCAGAGAGAGAGATTTGAAGATGCTGTGCTGCTGGCTTTGAAGATGGAGGAAGACGCCATGGGTCAAGGAATGCAGGTGGTCTTTAGAAGCTGGAAAAGTCAAGATTTTCCTCTCTAGATGCCAGAAGGAATGCAGCCCTGCTGATACCTTGATTTTTAGGATTCTGACCTCCCTTGCTGTAAAATAATAAATTTGTGTTATTTTAAGCCACAAAATGTACGGTAATTTGTTACAACAGCAATAAGAAACAAAAACACCCTCCTTACTGGCCTCCCTGCTTCTGCCTTTGTCCTTCTGTGGACTATTTATAAACACAAAGGCAAGAGCAATCCCTTTAAAACTTAAGTCACGCTTCTGCTCAATATTGTCCTGCGGTTCCCTATCTCAGAGTAAATACAAGGTTCTTAAAATCTCCTTCAAGGTCTTACCTGGCCTAGCCATCCAAACTTCTGAGGCTTCCTCCCCTGCCGTCTCCTCACTCTCATTCTCCTGTGGCCTGACTGGTCTCCTTAGGGCTTCAGACGTCCTCCTGTCTCAGAGTCTTCACATTTGCTCTGCCCTCTGTTTAGAAGGCTCCTTCCCAGACATCCAAGAGCTAGATCCCAACCTCCTTCACACTTTTGCTCCAATGGCACCTTCTCAGAGAGGCCTTCCTTGAGGGCCCTGTTTAAGGCTGAGACCTCAAAACTGAAACCCCTTGCCCTCCCCGTCTTCCCTGCCTACCTGGTGCTCCCAGAGGCACTCAAACACCCTGACGTCACTGGAGCCGAGAAGACAGCGTAACCGATACCGAAAACAACAATCATACTGATCGCAGCTAAGTCCCTGGGTACTTACTAAGCCAGGCATTGTAGACAGTGCTGTACAAGTATTAACTCAGGCAAGCAGATCGCAGTAGCTCTTCACATAGGGGCCTCCGGGGAACTCAAGGAGTCCAACAAAATTCAATTCAAAATATAGGATGGGAATTGCTGGTTTCCGATTAAGGTCCCAGCTGGTTCCGGATAAAAGGAGGAAACTGTTCACTAGGTGAAACTGACATCATCACAAGAATATTGATAAAATGGAGTCTGAGCCAATAACCCTCCAGCTCCAAAAAGTATCTGAACCATAATAGGTATGTGGTTGGAATCTGCTCATTCGGGTTGGTTGGTTTGTCTTTAACAATGACAACAACAAAAAAACTAATGTCACTTGTCAATATGGAAAGAGAATGTATAAGTTCAGAAATGTGGAAAGACTCAGAGAAATATGAGGCTTTGTCTCAACAACCCACGCTCATCAAAAGCCTCCGAAGCACATCACACCCACCTTCTCGTGTCAGAGGCTCCAATGGCAGCGGGTGGGTAGCTAAGGGTATAGATGAGAAGTAGACCAGAGGGGAGATGGGACGGAGGTTCTGCTCCCCGAAGATTCATAGACCTGGAAGTGTGACCAGTGCAGCCCACATGAGTCTCTGGTCATATTTGGCGGGTGGGGAGGTGTTGTGCCATGGGGGTCTCTCCTTTCTGACTCTCCCCCCGTGGGTCTCATCTGGGAAAATACCTTCTGGAGCAACAGAAACTCATCTACAACGAACTCCACTCTGCTCACTGGCTTCAGCATCCCTGAGGGGGAAGAGGAAGGAATCCTCCTTTGAGGCCACGTTAAGGGTGGAGATTTTCCTTTGTTTGCAATTGTAATCTCAGTAGTCACTCTAGTCAATAAACAAACAAGTGAAAAGACTCAGCGAGGTGTAAAAACAGATTTGCACAGGGCAGACAACTGCGCATTCCATTTATTTACCTCTTCTAACAAACCGATACCTGGGGTGACATTTATTAATAAACGGCATTACCAGGTGCCTGCTATGTGGCTCACAGAAATTAATTACCCAGCCCATGGTAAAACCATAACAAGCCCGCAGTGCTGTAACATTTGTGCTAATTGAAAATGAGATAAGTGCTGTGGGCACAATTTGCATTCAATGCAGTGTATTAATTATCTTCGGTTCTCTTCATGATAAATATACCTGACTGAATCACTCTCCTAATTTACCGGGTAATAGAGTCATAAGTGGATTCCCTTAGGTAACCAAGGCAAGGCGCTGGCTTGGGGGCAAGATGGAGGACCTCCACTTTCCCAGCTGCTTCCCCAAGCCTAGCTCTTCTACGTCACTGCCTTGCATCACTCCATGGAGTACAGCGAGGCCAAGCTGCTATGCTCACCAAGGCTCCCAGCCTCAAGCCCTAACCCTTCCCTCCTCTTCCCAGATAGGCCGACTATTCTAGAAGCTCGGGGAGCGCTCAAATACACGAAGTTAGAGGGGATATATTTCAACCCGTTTAACGACTCTTTGGAACACTGAATATTATCTCTGCAAGGAAGGCTTTTGCTATTCATTGCCTTCATATTAATTCAGGATTTAATTGCAGTTGGTTCTAAATGGACACAAATTGAAACTTGCGCTCCGAAAGCAATCAGGAAAATAGAGATTTAAAGAGACTGGGCAGTTGCAGCAGATTAATGCTTGGGGATGATGGTCTGGAGACAGGGCTCAAATGACAAACTCAAGATGAGAAGTTCAGCAAAGCTGCCTAGTACCACCCGACGAGGAAGGCCTGCCTTTCAAGATGGAAAAAGTGAGAAGACCTGTTCGGTTATCATGAACTAGAGCTCCCCGACCTTCCAGCACTGGCACACCTGTAAAGCCATCACCGTGTCTTCCAACTCAGCGAGGTACTCCTCTTGCCTTCATGCACTGAGCCACAAATAATGAGGGCAAGGTGATTATTAATAATAATAATGACAATAATAATAATAGCAGTTACCATGAAATGCAAGCTTACCATGTATCAGGCACCAAGCTAAGGATTTGACTTACATCACCTAAATTAATACTCTTTTAGAAGCCTTCCTTGCTCACCCTGTCTAAAGAACCCCCTTTCACCGTCTCTCCACCCTCCCCCAGCCACACATACGCAGTAAGTCTCCAGGACAGTGACAGGGCCTCCATTCCAGTCTGTAATCACCTTGCTCAGTCATCCACCTGCCCTCTCCCTAATCAGCATACAAGCTCCTGAGGGCAGAGCCCTAGCCTGTCTGCTTCACCCCTACCATGTCACCAGTACAGAGTAGGACACTCAACAAGTATTTGTGGAATGAATGCAAACTTATAATAATCTCCTAAAGTGAGCAGACCAAAACTCAGTATATGACCCAGTCCTAGCAATGCATAAAACATGTTCTCAAATTAACAAGTTTATAGGGTTCCCTGCCCCACACATAGCACTCAGAGGCTAGGGATCCTGTGTGTTAGGGGCCAGTGGCACATGGAATGCCTACCATGAAATCCCATCTACTCACTAGAGGGGAGACTCCGACCTGATTCTAAGCTTCTTCATAGTCCTCGGGAAGAGGAAAGTACAGTTCTAAGTACCTGTAACACAAAACCAAACAAAAGCCCAAGGAAAGCACAGCTATTTCTGACACTCGCACTAGAGAACAATTTCTTTCGAGGACAGAGAAGACATTGTTCAACGTCCAGTCACCCTCATGCGGTAAGGAGGCTGCTGTCGGCCCACACATACTTCTGTGTGAGTGAGAACAGGACACGCTTCTCCAGGCCAGAGTGGCCATGAGGGCACAGAGCTCAGCGAGAGGAGCCCAGCTGGGTTTCAGCCCTCATTTTCCCCCTTAGGTGGGGGCCCTTGTACAAAATACAGCAGTTCCCAAGGGCGGCCCTGCTGAGGACCTGCAGGTGACTGCCTCCTTCTAAAGTGCATTCTGGTAAAATCATCCCCACAGAGGCCCTTGGGGTGCGGTCCTGGTCCCCTGGTAGATGTTGCCACCACATCTAGGGCAAATCTGCTAGGTTACACCTCAGTATGGAAAGTGATGGCTACTGCCAGGTTTCTCCTAGGACAGGGGTGACAGATTTAATTTTAGCTAAATAAGCTAAATTATCCATTCCAGTAAAAGAAAAAGAATGAAAGAAAAAAGAAAGGGAGAGAGAGAGAGGAAAAAAGGAAGGAAGGAAGGAAGGAAGGGAGGAAGGGAGAAAAACTGAACTCTTAATATGTCATGTCCTTCCTGTTATGGACTAAATGTTTATGTTCCCCCAAAATTCAGATTTTTGAAGCCCCAAACCCCAGTGTGACTGTATTTGGAGATGGAGCTGTCTTGGAGGTAAGGAAGATTAAATGAGACCCTAAGTGTGGGGCCCTGATCTGATAGGATTAGTGTCCTTGTAAGGAGAGACAGTGATCTATCTTCCACCATGTGAGGACTGGGCAGGAAGGAAGCTGTCTACAAGCTAAGAGAAGAGGCCTCAGAATGAAACCGACCTTGCCAGCACCTGTGGGACTGCCAGCCTCCAGAGCTGGGAGAAATAAATGTGCGTTATTGAAGCCTCCTAATCCACGGTGTTTTGTTCTGGCAGCCTGAGTTGAGACACTGCCCTTAATATCAGTGATGTTTAACCCCCTGGGCAATGGGCAGCTTTGTACAAAAAGAGATTGCCTAGGACGGTACTGAAGACCAGAGCTAGGAAAAGAGAAGAAAGACAAGCAGGTAGGAAGTGATTTGTTCTCTGTTATGTCGTCAGCAATTTCAATAGTGCCTGGCACAAAATCAATAAGTATTTCTTAAATGATGAAAATTGTAAATTACTATAAGGTAGCAGATAGCAGCAGCTACATTTATTGAGTGATGTGCTAAGCTTTTTAGATACATCATACATATATATGCTGGGCATTAAGCTAAACCTTTGCATACCAGGCATAGAGATTTAAGTACGTCATCTAATTTAGTCTCTACCATGACCATTTGAGGTAGGTGTTGTTATTCCCATTTTACAGATAAGAAGACTGAAGCTCACAGAGTAAGCCATCTGCACAAGCTCACAGGAGTAGTAAAGAGTGGAGTTGGTTAGGATTTGTACACAAGTTTGACTGCAAAGCCCATCTTCTTAATCACTCTATAAATCTGATATGATCACAAAAGTGGTGTGGAAATTAGGTATCTGTAAATTAAATCTTAAATGAAATACACCTGTATTTACTATTCAAAGGGAACTTTCAATGAATTTCAAGTTGTATAT